CAAAGGTTTGCAACAAGACTAGTCCCAGAGCTACGGGGATTGTCCTACGACGAAAGGTTGAGGGAAATCGGCCTGACGACACTGGAGGACAGGAGGGTCAGGGGAGACATGATAACGACATATAAAATACTGCGCGGAATAGACAAGGTGGACAAAGACGGGTTTGTTCCAGAGAAGGGACACAGACACAAGAGGTCACAATTGGAAGTTGAAGACTCAGATGAATCAAAGGGATGTTAGGAAGTATTTCTTCAGTCATAGAGTAGTCAGGCCGTGGAATAGCCTAGAAAGTGACGTAGTGGAGGCGGGAACCATACATAGTTTTAAGGCGAGGTATGATAAAGCTCATGGGGCAGGGAGAGAGAGGACCTAGTAGCAATCAGCGAAGAAGCGGGGCCAGGAGCTGTGACTCGACCCCTGCAACCACAAATAGGTGAGTACAAATAGGTGAGTACACACACACACACACACACACACACACGCATTAACCGTATAACTGGCACCGTGTAATCGGCATTTATTTCCGTGGACCATTTAGGCGATTTATGCAGGGTGGCCTTTTATCAGGAAGAAACAATTACTCTCTGGCCTAATCATTGGTGCCAGGCTCAGTACACCCTACCACCCCACCCACACACCCACCGTACCACCCCACCCAAACACCCACCTAACCACCCCACCCACACACCCTGCCAGTAGACTCCTGCTTAGGTCCATCAGTGTATATAATTTGCGATATTATTACACACAGTTAAGCCAGAAATTTCTTGAGCAGTTGCCTTTACAAGTTATTTAAGGGAGGTATTACTAGTGATGAGTTTCTTGCTAGGGTCTTGTAGGTATGTGGTATTAAATGAGCACATCTTCCATTGTTGTCTACAGTGGTACAGTTCGTCCAAGTTACAAAACTTAATATATTTGCATATTTTCACAACCCATTTAGATGTGTGTGTATTTACTTGTAGACATTTAGTTAGATTTAGAGTGTCTAGTTCACCTCTTAACATTCTAATGTCAGGTACAGTATAGTGTTGATCTCTATAATCTTATCACTGATACCTGGAACACTAAGCTCCTTCTTTGTATTCACAACCTTTGTTTATGTTCGTGTGTGTATAAAATCAAGTGTAAGTACAGATGTAGCATCAGGTGTGGAACCGCAGGTGTGTCAAACTGTAGCTGCAGGTGTGTAGCTCCAGGTAAATAAGTGCAGGTGTGTGTGTGTCTCTGGACCATTATATCTTTCTGGACAATCTTGGCTCAATGAGTTATGAGCCTCTGGCACCGTTGGTTAATCTGGCGTAGTGTTACTACACAGCTTAGCGCCACTAACATTACTGCCTTATGACACTCCTGCTGCCACCTGGTAAGACCTGGAGCTGTTACTTGACATACAGCCTCAGGAGGAGGCGGAGGACGAAAAGAAGGTATAGGAAGAAGAGAAGGATAGGTAAGACAGATGTTTAACAGTTAAGTTGCACATGTGTCTTATCAATTTGTCGGTATTGTATACCATTATCATGATCACTCAGGACGAGGAGGAAGACAAGAAGAAAATAATTAATTAGCCATTTTGATCGTAAGGAGCCACCTACTGTCTCAAGATGTGATTCATTATAGTGTACAAACTTGTGTGTATCTATCTGCTGCTGGGTGAACAGGAGTAGATAGTAGACTTGTTCATTCGTCTTCCCTCACCTGGCAGTCGAATGGTGTTTTTTTTTTTTTTTTTTTTTGGTTGCTAGCTAAGAAGGGGAATGAGGGGAGGGGGGGGGGGAGGCAATAAAGGCAGGTTATGGGAAGTGCGGTAATGGCATGATCGTGTAGCAGTGACGACACCCACACTTGGCACTCCTGATCGATACCTGGCCCGATTAATTGGCACTTAGGAGGCACGCCTTCTTGCCTCAGCCCCCCCCCCACGTCTCCCCCACTATGCCTCCCCCACCACATCTTCCCCACCACACCGAGCCTCCGCTTTTATATACATTATCTAAAGTCTCATGCTGACGCGAAAGTAGCTGGGTGGCACCTTCCCTCACCCCCCCCCTCTCTTTCTCTCTCATCTCTCTCTCTCTTCTCTCTCTCTCTCTCCTCTCTCTCTCTCCTCTCTCTCTCTCTCTCTCTCTCTCTTCTCTCTCTTCTCTCTCTCTCTCTCTCTCTCAGTAACATCACCCTGACCCATACTGGTACTCAGTAACATCACCCTGACCTACACTGTTACTCAGTAACATCACCCTGACCTACACTGGTACTCAGTAACATCACCCTGACCTACACAGGTACTCAGTAACATCACCCTGACCTACACTGGTACTCAGTAACATCACCCTGACCTACACTGTTACTCAGTAACATCACCCTGACCTATACTGGTACTCAGTAACATCACCCTGACCTACACTGGTACTCAGTAACATCACCCTGACCTACACTGTTACTCAGTAACATCACCCTGACCTACACTGTTACTCAGTAACATCACCCTGACCTACACTGTTACTCAGTAACATCACCCTGACCTACACTGTTACTCAGTAACATCACCCTGACCTATACTGGTACTCAGTAACATCACCCTGACCTACACTGGTACTCAGTAACATCACCCTGACCTATACTGGTACTCAGTAACAATCACCTGACCTACACTGTTACTCAGTAACATCACCCTGACCTACACTGTTACTCAGTAACATCACCCTGACCTACACTGTTACTCAGTAACATCACCCTGACCTATACTGGTACTCAGTAACATCACCCTGACTTACACAGGTACTCAGTAACATCACCCTGACCTACACTGGTACTCAGTAACATCACCCTGACCTACACAGGTACTCAGTAACATCACCCTGACCTACACAGGTACTCAGTAACATCACCCTGACCTATACAGGTACTCAGTAACATCACCCTGACCTACACTGGTACTCAGTAACATCACCCTGACCTATACAGGTACTCAGTAACATCACCCTGACCTACACTGGTACTCAGTAACATCACCCTGACCTATACAGGTACTCAGTAACATCACCCTGACCTACACTGGTACTCAGTAACATCACCCTGACCTATACAGGTACTCAGTAACATCACCCTGACCTACACTGGTACTCAGTAACATCACCCTGACCTATACAGGTACTCAGTAACATCACCCTGACCTACACTGGTACTCAGTAACATCACCCTGACCTATACAGGTACTCAGTAACATCACCCTGACCTACACTGGTACTCAGTAACATCACCCTGACCTATACAGGTACTGTTTCACCATCACCAGGGTCTCTCGTCCTCTGAAAATCAGCGCAACACGTTTTCCCGCGCCGCTGTTACTGGTGGTAACGTCGCTCTATTACATTACCAGACGTGTGGTGCTCTGACACACACACACACACACACACACACACACACACACACAGTAGTAGCGACCAGTGAAGAGGCGGGGCCAGGAGCTCGGACTCGACCCCTGCAACCTCAACTAGGTGAGTCCAACTAGGAGAGTACACACACACACACGTACAGCATGCTTAGTGTCTAATCGACATGTGCCTAGAACAGAATGGTAACTAACTAACATACACTCCACTGTATGACACGAGAGGTTGTGAGGCTTTGACAGCATCAGGTGTGAGTGTAGGCTGGGACAGTATTAGGTGTGTGAGTGTTGGCTGGGACAGTGTCAGGCGTGAGTGTAGGCTGGGACAGTATTAGGTGTGTGAGTGTTGGCTGGGACAGTGTCAGGCGTGAGTGTAGGCTGGGACAGTATTAGGTGTGTGAGTGTTGGCTGGGACAGTGTCAGGTGTGAGAGTACAGGCTGGGACAGTGTCAGGTGTGAGAGTACTGGCTGGGACAGTGTCAGGTGTGAGAGTACAGGCTGGGACAGTGTCAGGTGTGAGAGTGTAAGCTGGGACGCTGGACTACAGCCGGAACAACAGAGGGTGCAGACAAGGTAAGCCAACTCACACCAGGGGATCTCTGAGGTATTAACGTCTAGCTCACTACCACTCTCTGTACACGACAACATCAGTACGTCAAGTACGCCACAACACTAGCACGTGCGGCACGACAGTTGTATTCGTACATGTAAGCGAGAGTTCTCAGGCATAATATAGCATCCTACATAAGAAGATCTGGGGGAGAGCATCTCTGTAATCCCCCTCAAAAGCGCTGGTCACAGGTGAACTTGAGTGTCTCGCATCTCTGCCAACATCAACCTCACACCAAAATAATAAAGATCAGAGAACACAAGGGACAGTACCATGACTGCAACAATACACAGATAACCCGGACATAGGAGATACAACCTTATAACGACGTTTCTGTCTGACTTGCAACATTGACAAGTCTTCCTCTCCCCTCTATATATATATATTGGCTCCTTCACCTTCGTGTGTTAGAGTGACTTGTAAATGGTCCAAGTCGCACCGAAACCTTGTCATAAGCCTCTCTCTCCTATGTGCGGGTTATCTGTATATAATGAAGATTTTCCCTACATGAGTCCACTGATCACATTGCATCATGCCTACTGGCCTATGCTAGGCAGGTTCAACTCACACACTCCCACATCCACTCATGTACCCGTCTAACCTATTAAGAAAGCTACTCAACGTTATGGCTTCATTGACGCTACTACACAGGTTGAACCACTCATTAACAATTCTGTTGCCAAGTCAGTGGTTTTCTAAAAAAAATTCTAAATCTAAAGTTGTCTGATGTTCCCGTGTCACGGGTTTTATGAAGATTCTGGTAGAATGTTTACAGAACTCTTAATGTGCAGGATCACGACCCTCTGTCGTGTTAATTCATTCGTGTGGAAGCTGCTACACACGAATGAACTCACGAGTCCAACATCATCTTTGAAATAAGTAATAATGTTTTATTTAAAAGTGTTGGTACACTTGTCTTGTTTGTGAGGTCTAGCAAGTGTTGGTACACTTGTTTGTGAGGTCTAGCAAGTGTTGGTACACTTGTTTGTGAGGTCTAGCAAGTGTTGGTACACTTGTTTGTGAGGTCTAGCAAGTGTTGGTACACTTGTTTGTGAGGTCTAGCAAGTGTTGGCCCACTTACCTTGTTTGCGAGGTTAGGGTGTACTGAGTAGTACGCGAAGGTGGCCATGCCTGGCCGCCAGTAACTGAGGGTGTAGGCTGGGGTGTACTCCACACCCTGACCATTGGCGTGTCGACCCTGTGTGGCTACTGCTGTCACCAGCCTCGGGGCTCCCAGGTCAACCTCCAGCCACTCTTCCTGACGGGTGTCGACCGCTGAGCGTGGGCACCAGGCACCTCCCCCGCCCTCCATACCTAGCCTGGGTATAATACAACAACAGTGTCAGCATAATACAAGTGTCAACAGTATACAACAACAGTGTCAACAGTAATTTATTTTTCACTGGCTAGCCAATGAATGGGCAACGTTTGCTGCTACTGTTGCTACCTGTTAAATGTATGATCCCTACTGGTTTAGTGCTTAAATCATGACAATAATGTGAGAGAGGGAGGAAAGGAGGGCTGGAGAGGGAGAGACTGAAGAAAGGATAGAAAGGGAAGGAAGGGATAATGGAGAGGGAGGAAGGAGAGGGAGTGAGGGAGAATTAGCGAGCAAAACAGTTCAAGTCTCCCGGGTGTGCATAACTGTAGAGCAGCAGACCAGGATACTTCTTGTACCTGTCTGGCAGTCGTGTGAAGCACCAGGTGCTGCTGCTGAGGCAATGAAGAGAGGGCGTGATGAGAGAGAGAGAGTAAAGGAATATGAGAGAGAATGGAGTATATATTATCATGGTGGTATTTATTATCCTGGCCAGAACTCTCCAGTAATCTCTGGCAAAACTTTGCTAAGCGTGTGAGAAACACAGGCTGGGAAGCCTCACTTGCTCTACCTAAGTGTGACTTCTTGTATACCTGCAACACGCAGGCACCACCATTATTCATCTTTCCCTATCACCACCACTCCTTGTGTTGAATGACCCACACGTTAAGGGCTTTGTGACGACTTTCTTGTGTGTATGTGTGTGTGTGTGTGTATTTTTCATCCTTGTGTGTGTGTGTGTGTTGTACATCCTTGTGTGTGTATGTTAAACATCTATGTGTGTGTATGTGTATTTTTCATCCTTGTGTGTGTATGTGTTGTAAATCCTTGTGTGTGTATGTGTTGTAAATTCTTGTGTATGTTGAACATCCATGTATGTGTATGTGTATTTTTCATCTTTGTGTGTGTATGTGTTGTACGTCCTTGTGTGTGTGTATGTTAAACGTCCATATGTGTGTATGTGTATTTTTCATCCTTGTGTGTGTATGTGTTTTACATCCTTGTATGTGTAGGAGGAGCCAAGTTTGGCTAAGGGTAAAAGCAGGATTTTACACCATCAAATAACGTGATTTTTCCAACTCTTTATTCCCTCACCTTAAATATCACACCTGTTTCTCATCTATAATGCTTTTTACTCCCCGGTGAACCAGCAAGCCAGGGAAGGGAAGACTCAGGTAAGCACGAGCTTCACGCTGCACACCACCACATAACACCTGCCTCTGGGGAGACATTCACCGTACTCCCGACAAACACAATACCACCGTCTTCCTGCTGAGGGTCTCTCAGTTAGGCGTGTCTCTCTCGTGTGATAACATACATGTGCAGCCTTAGGATATTGTATTGAGGATACGTCTCGCCAAGGATGGACTCTCAAGTCCTGAAGAATCCATTGCTGGCACAACGTTTCCCCAATAAAGAATACAACACTAAACCTGTATCTTATCCCACTAATGTGGATGTCTTACACCAGCTCTTATCCTCGACTTGTCTCTCATTCTTTCTCAGCTTTTCTACCCCAGTTTTACTATCACGTAACAGATCCTTAAGGGATGGAAGGTGTGATGGATATTAGATAGAGGGAGAGTTTGCGAGGGATGAAATAGAAGGAACTGTAGAGGAGTGGAAGATGTGAAAATAAAGGAAGAAATTGAGAGAGTGAGAGTTGTGAGGTTGAGGGAGTTTTAGGAGTGAGAGGAGAGATGTAGAGGGTCAGTTTGAGGAATGGAAGGTGTGAGGTAGAGAGAAAGTTTAGTGGGGTGGGGAGTGAAAGTTACCCATTGAGTCTAGACTCATGATATTGATGTAAACAAAGGAGGGACCAGCAAGAAGAAAGGTGAAAGAGGACATAGAGAGGGAGACAGGAGGGAAGGAACCATAGAAAAGATGCAAGGAGGGATGATGGGGGAGGGGCATAAGAGAGGGAAGAAGGTAGAAGAATAGGGAGGGAGAGGACGGATTAGGGTAGGGAGGGAAAGACGTACTATATAAAGAGAGGGAGAGTTGGAGGATAGTGGGAGGGAGGATGGGAGGGAACCTAGAGAAACAAATGAGGAACGGGGGAAAATGGGTGTACTTGGGAGGCATGGGAATGTAGCCATTATTGTCCTCACTCTCTTTACGAATAAATTGCATTTTCTGGCAAACAATGCTGCAAACCGGAAAACAGTTGCCACTGGTATCCTGTATATTTTTTTGTCGTATTTTTAGTGAGCAGTAACAAAGTTCTGATGAAAGATACAAAATAAAATACTGGGGTAGGTTGTATTAACACTGACCTGGCTATTACAGAAGCTGGATAAACAGGCAAGCTCTGCTGGATCAGTGAGTACCTGACAGCTGGCACACAGATCAGGGAGTACCTGACAGCTAGCACACAGATCAGGGAGTACCTGACAGCTAGCACACAGATCAGGGAGTACCTGACAGCTAGCACACAGATCAGGGAGTACCTGACAGCTAGCACACAGATTAGGGAGTACCTGACAGCTAGCACACAGATCAGGGAGTACCTGACAGCTAGCACACAGATTAGGGAGTACCTGACAGCTAGCACACAGATCAGGAGTACCTGACAGCTAGCACACAAGATCAGGGAGTACCTGACAGCTAGCACACAGATCAGGGAGTACCTGACAGCTAGCACACAGATCAGGGAGTACCTGACAGCTAGCACACAGATCAGGGAGTACCTGACAGCTAGCACACAGATCAGGGAGTACCTGACAGCTAGCACACAGATAGGGAGTACCTGACAGCTAGCACACAGATCAGGGAAGTACCTGACAGCTAGCACACAGATTCAGGGAGTACCTGACAGCTAGCACACAGATTAGGGAGTACCTGACAGCTAGCACACAGATCAGGGAGTACCTGACAGCTAGCACACAGATCAGGGAGTACCTGACAGCTAGCACACAGATCAGGGAGTACCTGACAGCTAGCACACAGATCAGGGAGTACCTGACAGCTAGCACACAGATTAGGGAGTACCTGACAGCTAGCACACAGATCAGGGAGTCACTGACAGCTAGCACACAGATCAGGGAGTACCTGACAGCTAGCACACAGATTAGGGAGTACCTGACAGCTAGCACACAGATCAGGGAGCACCTGACAGCTAGCACACAGATCAGGGAGTACCTGACAGCTAGCACACAGATCAGGGAGTACCTGACAGCTAGCACACAGATCAGGGAGTACCTGACAGCTAGCACACAGATTCAGGGAGTACCTGACAGCTAGCACACAGATCAGGAGCACCTGACAGCTAGCACACAGATCAGGGAGTACCTGACAGCTAGCACACAGATCAGGGAGTACCTGACAGCTAGCACACAGATCAGGAGCACCTGACAGCTAGCACACAGATCAGGGAGTACCTGACAGCTAGCACACAGATCAGGGAGTACCTGACAGCTAGCACACAGATCAGGGAGTAACCTGACAGCTAGCACACAGATCAGGGAGTACCTGACAGCTAGCACACAGATCAGGGAGTACCTGACAGCTAGCACACAGATCAGGGAGCACCTGACAGCTAGCACACAGATCAGGGAGTACCTGACAGCTAGCACACAGATCAGGGAGCACCTGACAGCTAGCACACAGATCAGGGAGCACCTGACAGCTAGCACACAGATCAGGGAGTACCTGACAGCTAGCACACAGATCAGGGAGCACCTGACAGCTAGCACACAGATCAGGGAGTACCTGACAGCTAGCACACAGATCAGGGAGCACCTGACAGCTAGCACACAGATCAGGGAGAGTACCTGACAGCTAGCACACAGATCAGGGAGTACCTGACAGCTAGCACACAGATCAGGGAGTACCTGACAGCTAGCACACAGATCAGGGAGCACCTGACAGCTAGCACACAGATCAGGGAGTACCTGACAGCTAGCACACAGATCAGGGAGTACCTGACAGCTAGCACACAGATCAGGGAGTACCTGACAGCTAGCACACAGATCAGGGAGCTACCTGACAGCTAGCACACAGATCAGGGAGTACCTGACAGCTAGCACACAGATCAGGGAGTACCTGACAGCTAGCACACAGATCAGGGAGTACCTGACAGCTAGCACACAGATCAGGGAGTACCTGACAGCTAGCACACAGATCAGGGAGACCTGACAGCTAGCACACAGATCAGGAGTACCTGACAGCTAGCACACAGATCAGGGAGACCTGACAGCTAGCACACAGATCAGGAGTACCTGACATGCTAGCACACAGATCAGGGGAGTACCTGACAGCTAGCACACAGATCAGGGAGTACCTGACAGCTAACACACAGATCAGGGAGTACCTGACAGCTAGCACACGATCAGGGAGTACCTGACAGCTAGCACACAGATCAGGAGTACCTGACATGCTAGCACACAGATCAGGGAGTACCTGACAGCTAGCACACAGATCAGGGAGTACCTGACAGCTAGCACACAGATCAGGGAGTACCTGACTGCTAGCACACAGATCAGGGAGTACCTGAAGCTAGCACACAGATCAGAGGTACCCTGACAGTAGCACACAGATCAGGGAGTACCTGACAGCTAGCACACAGATCAGGGAGTACCTGACTGCCAGCACACAGATCAGGGAGTACCTGACAGCTAGCACACAGATCAGGGAGTACCTGACAGCTAGCACACAGATCAGGGAGTACCTGACAGCTAGCACACAGATCAGGAGTACCATGGACTGCAGCACACAGATCAGGGAGTACCTGACAGCTAGCACACAGATCAGGGAGTACCTGACAGCCAGCACACAGATCAGAGAGTACCTGACAACTAGCACACAGATCAGAGAGTACCTCACAGCTAGCACACAGATCAGAGAGTACCGACTGCCAGCACACAGATCAAGGAGTACCTGACAGCCAGCACACAGATCAGGGAGTACCTGACAGCTAGCACACAGATCAGGGAGTACCTGACAGCCAGCACACAGATCAGAGAGTACCTGACAGCCAGCACACAGATCAGGAAGCACCAC